CGATAGCATCTGTCTGGGCTTCTGTAAGGCCTTTGACATGATCCCCCACAACATCCTTCCCTGTAAATTGGAGAGATATGGACGTGGGGGATGAGGAATTGGTTGGATGGTCACATCCAGAAGGTAGTGGTCAATGGGTCAGTGTTCAGATGGAGATCAGTGACAATTGGTGTCCCTCAGGGGTCCATACTGGGAACAGTACTGTTTAGTATCTTCATCAGTGGCAGGGAGTGGGATTAAGTGTACCCTCAGCCAATTTGCAGATGACACCAAGCTGAGTGGTGCGGTTGACATGCCTGAGGGATGGGATGCCATCCAGAGGGACCTGGACAAGCTCAAGTGCATTTCAGAATATGGTTTCTGGGTGATAAGAGAAATTAATTCTATAGAATTGGTTACTGAAATGCATATAAATTAAAGATAGAAACAATACACATTAAGTGACTGTAATCGGTAGGGACCCATGTTTTTATTGGCATCTGCAAAAGTAACATATTTGACTTTATAAATTACAGATCTCTTTTTTTCTATGAAATCATCTTAGTGGGAAACTCCAATATTTTAAGTAACTGAACTGGGTACTGAAAAAAAAACCCTGGCTGTGTTTAAATGATATTTTAAAACTAGTACAGGCTGTAAATAGACTATTTATAAACAGGATGCTTTGTATATGTTTAAACTTTGTCAGCGCCTCTAAAGCGGGGGAAATGCCAGCATGACATTCCTGTTAGTCATTCACAGGTTTGAAAAACTGTTAAGAGTTACCCAAAATATGTTTAATTCTTTGGATGCATTTACATAAAACATTACTGATTTCTGATAACTGTGATTAATTATTTTTACTGCAAAGGGAAAAGACTGCATTTTTTTAAAGGGGGAAAAAAAAACCCAAAGCCAACAAAACCCACCCTGTAAAGTGTTCACCTCGATCTCGGCTTCTCTGCCGAGGAAGAGGAGAGGTGCTCTCTTAGTATGGTTAACGTCTGTCCTTGAGCGTCACAGCAGCAATAAGGGAAGAGGGAAGTTAAGCCCCCTCTTAGCAGCCCCACGCAAGGCTGGGTGTGAATGCCGTGCTCTGGACACTCCAGCTGCTCCCTCTCAGCAGTGCCAGTGGTGAGAGCCCCTTCAGCCTCCTGCCACCCATGACTTCTACCCAACCACGTTGCCTCCCAAGGCCCACCAGTTCCTCAGCTGAACGGTGGCCTGCACTTGAACCGCTTTCAAGCCCTGCTATCTTTTCCCTGCTCAGCTATTTCATGACATTTCACTTTGGGATCAGTAGTTTTCTTGATAATCTGATGCCTCCCTTTCCCTTTCTACCACTTTGGCTACTGTCCTTATACTTACCATCATTCCGGGCTGGGCATCTGTCTCCGAACTTGTTCGGCGTTAGGTTCAGCGTACCTTTGGCCAACGACGTTTGTTCAAGCACAGCAGAGCAAGGGGGGATTTAACAGCATCAAAATCTGTCCGAGTGACAAAAGATTGTCTGGGGCAGTCGGCTAAGGTTTTTAATGTCGTGTTGGTTGAATCTGCCTCGGTATGTGAATAGGGCAGCTGTGCGTGAAAAGGCTGTCTTCAGGAAATGTGAGATCTCTGCTGAAGTGGACATGAAGTTTTGACCAACGCCTCAAAGATTCTTTTTTTATCCTTAGCCATAAAACTGCACTTTTCCCACACGTTCTGGTAAACAACGTGGCAATATCTCCTGAAGAAAGTTTATATGTCAACTTGCAGTTGTAGAAGTATTTAAAAATAGAAGTTCAGTCAGAACCTAGTCCTCCAGATCTTAATCCTGTCTAATCCTTTGGCAGGACCTTATTTTAAGCAATTTGTTTCACAGTCATTCCAAATAATTTTTTTAATGTAAGTGGATTGTAAACAAAGTGAGGTTTTCTTTGCACACTTGTGAAACAGAACTCTTGCTTTTGTTGTTGGACGAGAGGGACACTAATATACACCTGAAAGCAAGAGTGGCAGTATTAAAAAATAACTGTTATTAAGGCCTGCCTTCAAAAGGGGGGCAGATTTTTAGACTGCCTCTAACTCCCTCTCTGAAAATCGGATGTTTTGCAGCAGAAAGGCAAACATCTCATGTCCTTCACACTGACATCAAGATATTCTAACATTCAGTCATTATTAACACACTAAAGTCCTGGCCAAAGTGTCTGGCACATATGGTTACTTCCTCCCTCCAGGCATTATGCGTAACTTTAAGCATTACAACAGTTTTAAGAAATAGCAATAATTCAGTGGACATTTATAAAATAATAAATACAGAAAAGTTTTGGATTTCAAGAGCCACACAACCAGCAAGATTGTATTTCACCCATTCAGAAATAACAACTCATGTTAGTTCAATACCTTTCTCATTAATTTAAAGCATTATTTATGTTCCGCTTAAAAATAAGCATATAAAATAATATGGTAAATTTTATAGAAACTTTCTGTGTTGATATTAAGCATTTCTACAATAGTGTTGATATGGCCCAAGAGTAGAAGATCATTCATTCATTTCTTAGGAAACATTTGCTCTAGACTTCAATTATTGTTTCAGTGTTGGCTATGGGGTTATTTTAAATGGTTTTAGCTGTGAGGAAGCGTAGAGGAGACATCCTAGATCTGAAAATCTCAAAACAAGTGTTGCCAACATTTTGGTTGCCAATACACAATGCCAGTGTCTCTTGTAAATCAATACACAGAAGAATAACGTAAATGCTTTTGGGCTTCAAAGTAACGTCATTATTAGAACAAACTAGTCTCTGTCAGCCTCAGTAAGAATTTCTATAGCACTTACCATATTTTGAAAATTCTCAAGCTTAGGTAATATCATTTACAATGCCTCTCATTCCCAACTGATGTGCAAGGTGCAAGATTACATACCAGTGTTACACGCATGTTCTTTTCGATCCAAATGTCTCATTACCCAATTTGAGTCTAATTCCTAGAAGCACTTGACTGTCTGAAAGTAGGAAGGAAGAAAAGCAGGAAACTGCTCTGTGTCTATAAGGGAGACAGTGTTCAGTGTAGGTTGATGGATTGAGAAGAGTTTTGTTTTCCCCCCTATATCCCATCTACCACAGCAGGGGTCCATACAATGTCAGGAAAGATCCATACAATGCAGATGCACTGGCTTTATGTTCATTGGTCTGATCCCTGTGTTACCCCAACAGATAACAGAATTCTTCCACCTTGTAAATATTTGCGGAATCAGGTCTTATTACGCTTTTAATATCCTCCCTTCAAGTACACAAGCTGGATAACTAGAAAAAATAGCTCAAGGCAACAGCCTACAGCAGAATGCCTAGCTGAACAGATGGGAATCAACCTCTCTAACCAAAAAGCCCTGCCTCCCAATAGCGGAGCTCTCCTTCTAGTCCTTCCACTAGAGGTTGGATAGGCGTGAAGAAAGCTGACCATTAGCACATACAATTTGCCTGTGGCAGTAACAGTCCTCCAGCATTCTTTGACTCTGTTGAACCTTTTCAGTCTTTGACTCTGTTGAACCTTTTCAGTCTTGTACCATTTACCTGCAACAGAGAAGGAACCTCAGAAGCCAAAGAGATACTGGAAGGTGCACTTCTGGAAGTACTAAAACACCCCCATAAAACTCACTGATGCTCCTGCAGTCTGCAAAACCCACGAGGATCCTTTACCAATGATCCTTTCCTCTCCACCCATCACCACCTTGTCTCTTACCACCACAGCTTATTATTGTATCTAGTGCATGATTTGCCTACACAGGTGAGAAATTTGAGAGATTTGGCATGAGAAACGTGAGATTTGGCATCTGGACAGCTTTTCACAGACTGAAAGTTAGTACAAAAACACCTCACTGGGTCAGATATAATGACATCCATACAGCGTATTACTGCTAGCTGTAGACCAGCTGCTTTATCCCTGACCGCCTCTTATCAGTTAGTAGTAGTATTGTTTGTCTTGTAGGCCTCAGTCGCTCGTGATCATCCATGCTATGAGAAACACCAGAATGCAGGGCTGCAGGTGACATGCCTTCACCTTTTTCTGAACAGCCTTGACGCATATTGAAAAAGGAGCGCAGTTTCTCAGAAGTGAATTAAATCCTTTTGTTGCAGAAATAAGAATGTCCAGTGACATTATGAATAATAGCCGGGGTTATTACCTTACGCTTTTGTCTCCCCTGAAACAAACAGAGATGTGTCAAAAGGAGATACACTGTAGAAAAAACCCCAATATTGTGGAGGAATAACAAATACTTCTAATGCATTGAAGTGAACTGAACTGAATGCAGTATTAGTTTTATCCATCTGAATAGCTGAATTAAATAATTCCTGAATACTATAAACTTGCGACATTTAGAACGGAAATGTGCATATTTTATTTGTCTCTCTGATTTCTTTTTAGAAATTATGACATCTTTTTTTGCATCAGCTGCACGGCAGCCGCACTACTTCTTTAAAAAACGTATCAATAATAACCAGGTCTTATTTAAAATTTTTCATTACTCAGTAAGGATCCAGCCTTCCGTAGCAGAAATTCAATAGCTAGGAAACTCAAGTTTTAGTTTGTATTTCCATGTTGCAATTTCAGATGACGAACATGGCGTGAGCCACAAAAACACATGAGAAAATCTAGAGAAATGCAGCTTAGCCAGAAGCACGGACAGTTACTTCAGATTTCCAGCAGACCACTGATTAGCCTAAAAACCCTCATTTTCCATATCTACTGTGTGCTTCCCACAGGAGTCATATTCCCCAGAGAGTGTATGCTGTCATACTGAGCCTGTATGTCGCTGGAAGATTGGAAAGGGATGACGTCGTAAAGTTGGTGTTCTCTTGCTCTGCTGACCCACATCCTGCACTCAGGCTTTTTCTCTGATAAAACATACACCACTTCTACAGATCTTGTTTGACTTTTGTTAAAAACAATTGAGTAAATAGATGACCTGACATTCTACACAGATGTGGAGTAAGTTTTCTTTGGTGCCATATCAATAGCTGATGTACTGTTTTATTTCACAGGTCATGGACTGCGCAATGCCCCTGATTGGTGAGCATCAGACTGAAGACAGGCAACATATAACTGATCTAGTCGTAAGCAAAATGAACCAAATGTTGTCCAAAACTCCCATACCGTCTCCTCAGAGACCCACTGCCACTCAGCAGCCTCAGGTAGGAAACTTTTGTTTGTAACATAGAGAATTTTATTCTACAATTTTAAGCTCAATATTTTCCTCAAAGAATTTGGCTGGAAAACTATGCAGTCATACCCTGAACTACACGAATTCAAGAACTTATCAACATGTTTTAGAGGTTCTCGTATTTAAATGAGATTATCTGCAGATATAATCGAGTAGTCAAAGGGTTGGTGTGGTTCTACCAGTAAACTGACAACCATGGATTCAGTAAATTACCAGGCTTTGTGTTGTGTCGTTTCCTTTCAGTTACATCTGTATAAAAAATAAAATGAAAATATTAAGAAGAGCTGACATCAATGATCTTTGCTTGGAGGATGTCAGAAATAATACTAAGACAACAGTTCTTGTTCGTGTGAGAAATTAATTACATAATAATTTTTTTATTCATTAAAAGACCTTTCAAATCTAGAAAACTCCTAAAATATGTTCAGCCTACTACAAAACTTGTGTCAAAGGTTGCAAGTGAATGTGTTTCACTTATTTTATCTTACATGGCCTGACAGTTAAAGTGTGGGGGTGCAGAATTCTGCCCCTGGCCTTGCTACCTTTCAGACTATGGAAAACATCTTCGCGTTTCCATTTCCATGTTTACAAAATGCGCAGTTTATTTTATTTGTCCTTTAAATAGCTTCCGAGAGTGGGGTATCTTTCTAAAAGGCTTTAAGAACATAAACATTTTGCCTCTAAATTGGAGAGCTATGGATTTGAAGGGTGGACTATCAGATGGATAGGGAATTGGCCAGATGGCTGCATCCAGAGTTACGGTCAACAGCTCAGTGTCCCAGTGGAGACTGGTAACAAGTGGTGTCCCTCAAGGTTCTGTACTGAGACCAATACTCCTTAATATCTTCAGCAGTGGCATGGAGAGTGGGACCGAGTGCACCCTCAGCAAGTCTGCAGATGACACCAAGCTGCGTGTGGTCAATATGCTGGGGAGAAGGGATGCCATCCAGAGTGAACTGGATGCCAGGGTCCTGCATTTGGGTCACGGCAGTCCCCCAGTATCAGTACAGGCTGGGTGATGAATTGACTGAGAGCAGCTCTGCAGAGAGGACTCAGGGATCCTAGTGGATGAAAAATTGGATAGGAGCTGGCAGTGTGCACTTGCAGCCCAAAAAGCCAGCCGCATTCTGGCCAGCAGGTCGAGAAAGGCAATTCTCCTCCCCTACTCTATCCCCGAGACCTTACCTGGAGTACTGCATTCAGTTCCGGCATCCCCAGTACAGGACAGACATCGACCTGTGAGTGCAGCTCCAGAGGAGGCCATAAAAATGATGAGAGGGCTGGAGCACCTCTCCTTCGACTTGTTTAGCCTGGAGAAGAGAAGGTTCCAGGGAGGCCTTATTGTGGCCTCTTAATGCTTGAGGGGCTTATAAGAAAGATTGAGAATTACTTTTACAAGGGCCTGTAGTGACAGGACAAGGGGTAATGGGTTTAAATTGAAAGTGGGGAGGTTTAGATTGGATATCAGGAAGAAGTTCTTCACAGAGAGGGTGGGGAGGCACTGGAACAGGTTGCCCAGAGAAGCTGTGGATGCCCCATCCCTGGAAGTGTCCAAGGCCAGGCTGGATGAGGCTTGGAGCAACCTGGTCTGGTGGAAGGTGTCCCTGCCCATGGCAGGGGGTTGGAACTAGATGATCCTTAAAAAGTTTGGTCTAACCCAAAGCATTCCACAATTCTATGATTGTCCTATATAAATGCTAAATAGCATCTTTGATGTCTTCATAGCTATGTCACAGGTCTGATGAAGAGCAGTGTTACCAGCGACAACGTTCATGTGCTTCTTTTAATATACTGAAGGGATAAACCGTGACAATACATTAAGGACTGTATTGCTGCGCTGTACCAGCACAGCTCCATGGTCATCAGTTAAGCAACGGAATAAGTCAAACTGTAATACAGGAATTACCAAGCCTAAATCAAGAATCTATTTTTACTCCCAGTAGGCTCCACACCAGGTAAACAATTTGAAAACAATTTTGTGGCATACCTCAGACAGACTAGTTCTTGAGGCAGAATGACTAATTTGTTCTTCAAATATATCATCATGCTTTAAGTTATAAAAATACACCATCCCACATAAAAAAGTGGTGTGGCTTCTATTTATACTACAGCCACTTGAAACTAAGCACAAAATTGTTTCAACCACGGAACCACATACAATGGAGAAGTTTCCATCCAACTTCACTCAAGTCCATTGTAAAAGGCACTGAAAAAGAAAGACAAGAATGGGGGAAAAAAACCCACCAGCTTATGCCAAAATACAGTTTCTTTTAGGACTAGTAAATTAGCCATATATTAAAATGAAGCAAAGAGTCAAATTTAGAGTTGCCCAGAGCATACACATCAACATAAATAGAAATTTAAAATAGTAATAGGCATTATTGTAGTATTAATAGATTCACAGTCATTTAAAGCATTTGATATTTCACATTTTGGGGAAAAAAAAGTAAGGTCTTGGGCAGGCATGCTTCCCTGGATTTTAAAGAAGACAAGGGCAGAGAAATGTTTATCAGTAATGGTATCATACAAAGAAAGTGGTTCTCTGTTGTGTGTAAACAAAGTTTTTACTCATTTCCAAAGAAAACTGCTACCTAAGTCCAGAATGAAAACAGGACACAAGGAAGATTTTACGAAAGTTCCTAAATCCTTCAGTCATTGCTGTCACTCATCATGTCCATAAAAAGGTTTTTTTTCCTCTTAAACAAAAAAGCTCTGGGTGAATCCAAAGATAATATTTGCTGCTAGCTGCTGAACTTCCATTCGATTTCTACTCAGTTTAGGTTAGTGAAGAATTCAGCCTTTGCTAACAGGACGTTATTCAACATTAATCTTCTTTTCCTTATCCTATCCTGAAATCATGGAATGCAGTTGACCAAAATCCCTCCAGAATATCTGTGATATGTGTTAGCTTTCCTCTCAGTCAATCAGACTCTGCTTCCTTAAAATTTTCCTTGTCACAGTATGCACCAGTGTAGGACAGGCAAAGGGAATCTGAATTTCTACAGAAGATAACTATTTGCATTACTCTTCCCAGATTCCTGCCCATGGCAGGGGGTTTGGAACTAGATGATCTTTAGGTCCCTTCCAACCCAAACCGTTCTGTGATTCTATGAAAATCATGAAACAGATCTATAGTATTTAAAACAGGTAGATCCTCATGTGTAGTTAATTTTTAGCTAGGTTGTTTTCTGTTAAAACAAGCTGTCCATTTTCTCTTTGAACAGCCTTCTCCTTTTCTCATCTAAATTATTTCCTAATCTTGAGAAATACAGTTCGTTCATTTGCAGTACAGGGGGATACTGCATATTTCTGCAGGTCACATAAAATGCAAAACCAGCAGTTTATCCCAAGGCAACTATGTGCATATATATGTGTGGTCTTAGAAACCAAAGTAATATAAATATCAAAGAGTAATTTGTGTATTTTGCTACTGCTTTTAAAGGAAGAGCTTACAGTCAGTAGTACAGCTATAGTTGTGCCATGTTTTGAATTCCCTTAATATCTGCATGAGGTTTTAAAACTCACTTACTACCTGCCCACTGCTGTGGCATCGGGTGCATCGTACATAGAGGAATGCTTCAATTTGAAAGTGCCCGCAATGGTCAGTACTATTCCAATTAACTACCCATCAGAAAACAAGTCAATGATTAGGAAAATAAGACTTTGTTTAGAGCTCTGCAGCCAAATCTTGATGGAAATGATTGGCCTTGCAATATGTTCTGAAGGCCAACCAAGTGCTCTGTCAGAGTGCCAGAAGGAGCGAATTCCAGAGGCAGGGACCTCACACAGCTATCCTGCCTGTGCTGAAACCTCAGAGGTGCAGATCCTGTGATTCTTAGACACATTAAAGCTGTAATCTGAGGTATCAGATGTATTGAAAAATTTTAAATATATATTTGGTATATTGCCTATTTATGTATCTGTAAACACTTGCAGAGGCTCTATAACAAGTTCTACTGGTACACAGAGTGGCAGAGGATCTGTGAAGGAGAAAAGCTCCAGTTTGCAGCTCTGTGTGTTGCACCTCATGCCACCTGACTCACTGCAGCCAACAAGCTGTGTCTCATGCTTTTCTTGTGTGGTCCCAGGCTGCACTTTACTGCATACCTCTGACAGCATGATTGAAACATACCAGGTTAGAATGTATTCTCGATTCCATGATTCAAAGCGTGACGGTTTTGCTCTTATCATCTACTTTACAAATCTTCCCACTACAAAGAAAAGCAAGAGTCCCGGAACTCAGGCAAGTTTTATCTGATATAATTTCATATGGTCAAAAAAACTCTTTCCAAAAAAAAAGTTGTTCCTATTTAATTTAAAAACATGATGGTTTGTTTTACTCACAACCATGATGAAAATATATCATAGAACTTTATCTAGGAATATGATATTAATAGGAACTTTCCATGAGACAAACCTGAACTACTTGCAGGCAATAAAATGATGGAAATCTGAATTTCCAACTTTCGTGATCTCTTTGAATACTTTTGACAGATCTTTTGAGAAGCCTCTTTCAAATCTTTCCTAAAAAACACACCAGTAGGTTCATCTACACAGTGAAATGTTGTAGCCGGTGGAATCACTTATCTCTGTCTCCACCTGTTGATAGAAAAGATGACTGCTGAAACTTCTGCTGTCTGGATTTGCCAAACTCTGCAAGGGGTTGTTCAGTGCAGGCTATTTTATACTTGTTTCTGTAGCAGCATCAGTTTATAAAACAGCTATTCAAAGCTGCATATCAAGTCGTGTTACAAATTGTGATGAACTAAATTCTGTGTAGAATATTACACTGCACATGAGTACTACCATAAAATCCAAATAATTAAGGTCATATTAGCAGTTGAGGCTAAGGCAAATCATACTAGGAAAATGTTATTTCGGTCCAGCTCTGGTGAGACCATGTTGCATTATCCACAAAAGAACAAGGAACTTATTATCCTTAATGGAAGGAAGAAATTTGTGCATCAGAGATACAATATCTATCATGATATA